TTTTAGGCCCAGAAGAGAACTGTTGCTGTTAAGTGCCCCGTATAGTTCATTCCTGTATAGGGTTTCTGTGGAGTAGCTGAGTTTGAACTGCCAACCTCATGTTTAGCAGTCAAGTGGTTATCCTACAGCGCCACACCAGGAGTTCAAGAGGCAACAGTGGTCGGAATAAACCAGGAATTGAATCCAACCTGGACCTCCTGCATGACAGGCGAGAATTCTACCACTGAAACCACCTATGCACTAGAAAATAATTACATAGCTGAAAATCAAAAAAACCAACTATTCCTTTCTCTTCTATGCTTGGCTCCTGGGAGAATCGGTATGTAAATGTGTGTCAAGGGAACATAATACTAGAGGAAAAAACCCTCCCAAACATGAAATGATACCAGGAATTTATTTACCATAGACAACCTTGTAATCTCAAAATTAAGAAAAATGACAAGGAAGACAGGTGAGAAATCTGGTTGAGGGAAGATCCAACCAAGAAAAGAGTACAAAACAGAAAACATTTTTCGTAACTAAACATCTGACACTTAGGAAATACCAAAGGATTCACATCCACCAGGAATTGAATTACATACACAAAAGCCTACAGCGGTTTTCTTTAATACATGTAGCACCATGCTTTAAAACCCATGAACCAACTTGCTCACAATTTTGTCTACAAGTACCACCGGAGAAAAGCTCACTACATATCTATATTAAACTCAGAAATTAAAATGATGCCACATTAGTAATTCCACTCAGTAGTCTATTTGGGCTCTACTTCCTGCGTGAGATCTACCCTTAAAAACATGGTACAGAACTAGCAATTTTTAATCTTTTAAGACATTTTGTGTTTGGGGTCTGTGTGTTCTGTATCCCTACCCAAAGGCAGGAGCTATATGTCATTTTCCTACAATGGTAGGAAACAGATTGCTCCTTGCTCAGTTAGTCCCCTCTACAATGAGTTCTAGAGAGATAGAAAAAAGCAGAAAATCTGCCCTACTCATCAGAAACCATCTTCTCAAGAAGAAACACCAAAAATGATCTTTATAAAGCCTGAACAAGCAAATCAATGACAGAAAATTAGAAGAACCAGAAAATCAGGCTCTTCCCTCAAACTAAGAGCCTATGGAATACAAAACTAATCTGTAACTTCCAAAAATAGTGGCGTCTCACCTGGGCCCCCACAATAAAGGTCCGAGTCTGAGAGTCCAGGGTCTTCACCAGCACCTCCAGGCTGTCAGGCTCCTCCATAGTGGTACCGGTACTATCATTGGGTTCCATGGCAGACAGCTCTCTGGGGAAGAATGAGGGAGGTTCGCTGTCGCCAGGAGCAGATTTCATATGCCCGGAAGCCTCCCCAGCCTGAATCCCCGTCTCAGTATCTAAAAAGTTTCTCCCACACAGGCACAAGCACTCACACCCGCCCCCATCCCCCTTCTGATTCCGGGGCAGAGATAAAGAAACACAAAGGGCAGGGAATCGACGGCATAGGGAGCTGGAGAACGAGAGATGGGAGGGGCTCCACGATGCCAATCACAATAATAGGCGGCCGATCGGATTAAGAAGCAGGAAAGAAAGCACGAGACCGGTGTCAACACCGGTCGCGATAGGGCAAGGGCCCCAGGAGTCCGCAAACCCTGGGACACAGCGAACGGGGGTCGCGCCAGACACTGCGGAGAAAGTGGCTTCGCGCACGCGCGCCACGCCCATCGAACCCGCCTAAGTCACGACAGACGGTAGCCACTCACCGGGGGCGGGACCGGCTAGCTGATTGCCCCCTTCTTCCGCTTTCCTTCGATGATCCAGCAGAGCGGCGCAATCAACACGCAGCTAAACACGCACGCGTGCGCGCGCTTCCACATACACGCATCCACACAAATACACACACACACATATACACACTAATCCGCGGCTCCACCCCTGACTTCCCTACGGTACCGTCACTTCCGGTCTCCTCCAACCTGCCACCGACGGCCACTTCCGTTTCCCCGATCGTTCTTGGGGATCGTAAGGCGGTACTTCCGGCTCCCCCCAGGTTCCCAAGCTTTCCTTTTGTGGGGCACGACGAAAAAGTCCGCAGCCCCCAACGGAGCGAACCCTGGGGGCGATACGGGCCGGGGCCGGCCTAGATGGAGGGAGCCGATCACCCCGAAGAGCCGCCACCGCCGTCGCCCGGGGGAACCGTACTGCGCCTGCGTGGCTTGCACTACGCATGCGTACAACCTAAAGCCCCTCCCCCCGTTCCCTCTCCCCACTTGGTTTTTCTTGCGCGCGCTTGAGCGAGAGGAGATTCAGGTAGCCGCAATAAATGCCTGAAAATAAATTAGCAGGTGGTACTTTACGGCTGCCTCGAAAGAGACTTTGGGCTGTTTCATGGCACTTATATTGAGGACTTGGAACTATTCCGCTCCAAATCTATTTCAAAGTGCTGGCAGGCTGAGGATTTCATGCGGCACTGCCCTAGCCACCTAAAACTGCCCGCCTCTCAGTGTAGCTCTCGCCACGCCCTTCCTTGGTGTCGCCGGATGTAACTTTTCCGCGGGCGGTTGGTAATGACTCGCGGTGAACTGTCGGGTTTGTAGCGTACTAAGAATCGCCGGCGCTCGATTCTACCCCACGGTCGTTTTCGGGGTCCAGGCGCCATGTTCTGCGACTGAGTGGGCACGCCATGCGTATAAGAAACTAAGGCTGCTGCTGCATTTCAGGATTTTTTTCTAAGAAAAGGGGCACTTCCGACGTTGGGAATGATAAGAAAATGGAGTTAGACTGGACCGAAAGACAAAATTCTGACCCAAACGGCTTTTCAAGACCCGGGCTAGGGGAGTTATTGCCCCTCTGTGCCCTTCCTTCAAAGCTAGATTCCCGCGACGTTACAACTCATACAGTTAGACCCGACGGTTTTGGGGTGTTTGCCTCGGAGTACCTTTCCAAAATTCATAGCTTTTATATACCTATGCTCTGGTGAAGAATTGTAATAGGCACCCGTCTTTTTGTTGTTAAGTGATATGGAATGAGTTTTTGAAGAGCTGCTGGTGGGTTTGAACCACTGACTTTACTGTTAACAGGCCAGTGCTTATCCTACAAGCATCACACCAGGACTGAGGACTTAGTTTTTTTGCCAGATAACATATTAAGCTTTACATACTTTCAGCATCTAAGTTAGAGATTACATCTATGAAGGGATTTCAAAAAGTTCTTGGAAAAATGGAATTCAAAGTTAATGTAAATTTGACAGGTTTTTTGAAGCTGTGTTTTGTAGATGAGTACAGTATCAGGCCTGCCAGACTCAGAAGCAAGCATTTATACTTTGCTGCCCTAATAAATTCTGGGTTTTAATATTTACTATAAAAAATTTAAAACATCCCCAAATAGAAGGGTATAATGAATACTCATATATTCATCACCCAAATTATTTTATAAAAAAACAAGCCTGTATGTTGTCAGGAAGCCCCACTTCTTGCTTTAACTCTACCCACTTGACACTATCCAGTTATTGCCTCTTAACAACTTGTTTTCCTACCCCCTAAATCGTTTGAACCACAAGGTTTAAGCTCAGGGACCCCTCCTCAGAAACCCTATACAGGGTGCATTATGTGACAGAACTGACTCGAGGACACGTAACAAAAATTATTTGAGGGAAGTCTTGGTGTGGTGCTGTGGGTTAATGCACTGGACTGCAAAGTCTGTTTGAACTGCAAAGTCAGTGGTTCAAGCTCACCAGTCACTCATTGGAAACCCTACACAGGGTTGCTATGGGTTGGAACAGACTCGATGGCACTTAACATTATTTGAGAACTTACTACTCACCAAAAACTAATACTTGCTTTGAAACGTTACTATTAAACTCAATTTACCTTAAATTTACCAAATGGCTGGTTTATGTATATCCGCAAATTTAATCATATGAAACTGATGATTTGTCCATTTTGCAGATGAAGAAATGGACATAGAGATAAATAAAATTGCTCAAGGTCTACTTAGTAGTAGAGTTGGGGTTTTAACCCAGGTCTTCCTGACACCAAAGTCTTCTCTTAGTCATTAGGTTAATTATGTAGCCTCTTGCTTAATAAATGTTGAAGAATGAACTCATTTTGTCAGCAAACTTTTCCAAGGGTACACAGTTTCCCTAGTTATAAATTCCTTCAAAGAAAAAGCCTCCCACCCATCATGCCCCAGTTCCTGGTTCATATCGGCTTTGAAGTATTTATCAGGTTTATATTGCAACTGTTTACACAGTTGGTTTCCCCTGAACTTCTTCAAGACCAGGGACTGTCTTATTTATCCTTACGTCCCAGGGCTTAGTCAGTTCCTGGCAAACAGCTGGCACTCAAAAGTTTATTAAGTGCACAAGCGGAATGCAGGACCTTATCCAGAGAAGCAGCAACACCAGAGATGGAGGCAGAGATGGGGGCAAGGAGAGAGGAAGCAGATGAGGACTCTAGATTCATGGGAAGGGAGGGACTGAAAGCTGGTGGCCAGGAGGCCGACTTGAAGAATGTGCCCTTTAGCAGTATAAATTATTATATATGCCTGAATGTTTTTTTTAAAAAAAAAAAAAGCTAAAATGAATAGAGAGAAGAAATACTGTTAACTGATGGTACATGGAGGGGACTGTAATCATTGTAATGAAACAAAGTGTATGATTTGTTGAATGTAAAACTGATGATCTGCCCTGTAAATGTTCATTCAATTCACAATAAAAAAAAATTAAAAAAAAAAAAAGTTTACTAAGTGAAGGAATGAAAGACTCCATCAAGCTCCTCTTCGATGCTGCACAACATAGCAAATATCCAGCTCAGATATAAGTTGAAAAGCTCAGCTCTCTTAACTCCTGGCTCTGGATGTGCCAGAGTATATCATGGACAGATTGCATCTAAAGGACTGGTTGCATCTAGAGGAGGGGGAGGAAGGTCCAAACCCTGTAAGTAATCCAGGCTTGGGTTGGAAAACAAGGTTGAAGTTACTCATTAGCAGGTGAAAGGGTCAAGAGTCAAGGTAAAGGGGCTGGGAGTAGAGTGACTGAGTAGCCAGCAGGGGAGAGGTTAAGGCATCAGCCACCCCACACAGGGCATTAGCTTCCTCCTGTCTGAAGATGTTCCACCAAGTTTGGGCAGCTCTGCTCTATCTCTATGGCATTCTCCTTAACACCATCTACCAGTGCCCTGAGCACATTCAACTGACAACTCTAGGAATGGATGGGAAAGAGGTATGGACTGGGAATGAGGGAAACCTATAGTGGAGGCCCTAAAAGACTCAGGTGTATGGCCTAGGATAGCCAGAAACCACTCTGGAAGAGGAGACTTGGAAAAGGGTGAGAAAAATACAAGGACTATAGTCATGAATATGGAGCTACAGCAGAACTGGGGTTGGGCTAGTAGCCAGGCTGAATGGGGAGGAGCAAAGGAGAAAGTCATTCATTGACGACTTTCTATCATAGATCTCCCCAATTAGAAAAGAAACGAACACCACCTACCCCTAAGTCTTCCTGTACTGGCTGATGAAGAAGTTGAATGGATCTTATGATGGGAAACCACTCTCTTTTGTTCCCCTCATTGTCTTTGCAGTTTCCAGAGCCCCACCTGGGCCAGTGGTACTTTATCGCAGGGGCAGCTCCCACCAAGGATGAACTGGCAACTTTTGATCCTGTGGATAACATTGTCTTCAACATGGCTGCTGGCTCTACCCCGATGCAGCTCCAGCTTCGTGCTACCATTCGCACGTGAGTGATGTGGGAAGGCAAAGACACCAGTACATGCTGTCTCTGACCCAAGAGTCAACACCCACCAACAAGAGCTGTGCTCTTGGCTGATAAATCCACTGTTCTTGACCTGCTCAAAAGCTCCATTAGTTTTCCCTCTGGACAGAGAGAGATGGGCCTAGCCTCCCTTGGTAGCTTGAAACCCAAGGAGATCCATGCTGCAAGGAGGACTAAATTTAGAAATTGGTGCTGTGTGACTGGCATGTCACTCAGTCCCCTTTCCATGCCACCACCACCTCTGCAGGAAAACTGGGCTCTGTGTGCCCCGGAAATGGACCTACCACCTGACTGAGGGAAGCACTGATCTCAGAACCGAAGGTTGGTTCCCTCCTAGACCTCATCTTTCCCAAATACACTGGGCTTGCTTGGTTTTGTATCTCTATCCTTACCTTTTTCCTTTACCCACCCTCACAGGTCGCCCTGACATGAAGACGGAGCTCTTTTCCAGTTCATGCCCAGGTGGAATCATGCTGAAAGAGATGGGTCAGGGTTACCAGCGCTTCCTCCTCTACAGTGAGTAGAGGTGCAAGGCATGAAGGCTCAGAGGGAAAGGAGAGGGCAGGGGGGCCCTTCACTCTGAGCCCTATGTCATCATCCTGGGGAGGGCTGAGTGCTACCATGAGGCCCTGCTCTACCCTTCCAGATCGCTCACCACACCCTCCAAAACACTGTGTGGAAGAATTCCAGTCCCTGACCTCCTGCCTGGATTCCAAGGCCTTCTTACTAACTCCCAGGGATCAAGGTGAGAGGTTGAAGTCCCACAGTAGAGGACTATGACTGAGCAAGTCTTCTAGGAGTGCTAGATGAAGGGGGCTCATGTGATAGCTAGCTAGGATCAGAATAGCTATGTTGACACACCCATTTGTGTCATAAACTATGATAGCACCAGAGGTTATGGCCAAGGCCTGTGATAGCTATCACCTGAGGCAGTCAGGCTAGGGTCTGGGTTACTCAAAGAGGGGTTCCTGAGTTTGCCGTAGGTTATGCATGCAGAAGAAAAGGCCTCAGATTCCTTCATGGAAAGAAGGAATGTGGTAAAGGAACACATTCTTCCCCATACAATTACCACAACTATGCTTCACTCTGTGCTCTTCCTTCCTCTCCATCTTCTCTTCTTTTCCCTCCTGCCAGAGGCCTGTGAGCTGTCCAGTAACTGACCTGTGGCTTCACCTGTGCTCCCCGACGGCTACTGTGGGAGCTAGTGGTGGGTGGGAGGAGGCTAGCTAGAGACTCCCAAATCCCTTTCAAGAATAAAGATGATTTTTTAATACTCATTCTGGGGGTTGTCTCCAGACATCAATCCCACTCTCCTCATTTCCCATTTCAACATGCCCCCTGAGTCCCCAGCTGGACGGCGTCAGGAAGGACACTGCGTGGTAGTAACTCTCACTTTGTAGTGGTATATTTAGGATTGGGTGTGGCACATTTATTGCTGAGTGAGCAAACCCCTAAGCCCCAAGTGGGAATGCAAGCTCCAGTGCACCCCTATGCTGCCCATCTGACCTGCCTGCACCATCCCCTCTCCTTCTGGCCCCCGTGAACACCGGGTCCTCCGGCAGGCACCCTATACCTTATGGGTCCCCAGTCAGCCCCCCAACTACTTAGCTGCCTACTCTTCCAGGATGGCTGCGATCCCAGAATCCAGGCAATCCCTTGGGTTTCCAAACCATCCAGAGCTTTTTCCTGTCTCTGGTCTTCTCCACCCTTGGGGAGTTATGAAAGGTATTTAAAAAACCATTTAGTATTTACTCTCCCCGCTCTTTTTAAGTGGAACTAGAAGAAATAGAAAAGCAAAAAGTGACAACAGCTGGTGAATCCAAGGGCGATGTTCCCACCATCCATGAAGAGACACCCTACAGCAGCCTTGTTCTCCCCTGCCTGTGATGGGTACCCTGAGCCCTCATGCCCTAGGTTTCCTTCCCCATCCCTGATGTCCCTGTATTCCTAACCTGGGTTATACATGCCCCCCCCAACTCTCCTAAAGACCATTTGCCTCCATGTTACTCAGGGTGGGGCCCAGTGTCACATCCTACCCCACAGTCAAAGCCCCTTTCCTGGGTCTCCCTTCTGCTCTTCATCCTCCTTCTCCAACCTCTCACCTCCCCAGTCAGTGGCCTCCTCATCTCCACTGGGATCCCGGAGGCTGACAGCCAGCACAAGGGCCTGCAGGAGGCCAAAAAGGCAGGCAAAGTGTAGAGGGTGGGCAGTAAGGAGGCTCAGCACAGCATGCAGCCCATGTAGGGCAGCCAGGAAGGACAGCAGCCCATGCAGCCAGAGACCTACTGGCCCACGCAGGCCCAACGCGTCCAGTGCTGCCCGTAGTGGTCGAGAGCATAAGCCCAGCAGGGCTGAGGCCAGCAGCTCCAACAGGTGCAAGGTCAGGTTGGTGGAGATCTGCAGCCGCTCCTCTGGGCTCCCCAGGTATGTTGGGGGCGCAGCTGTACCACCACCTGATTCCCCTCGTAGCCAGCCCAGCAACTTCTGATGTCGACCTGACTTCTCCACCGGAGTTTCCAGCTCAGGGGGGCTTAGTCCCCCTTCAGGGGGAACCCCAGATCTCCTGGAACCACCTGGGTTTACTGGATCCTGTCCCAGTTTGGGAATGGCCCCTCCAGACTCTTCAGTACCAGTGGCTGCCTTTTCCAACTTGAGGGAATCCATTCTTCGGCTCCCTAGCTGAGCTACTAGGGGGGTCCTGCTTGAATCTGGAGCAGTCCTCGAGCTCTTCTGTAGCCCTGAGTCCCTGGTTTTAGAGGGCCCCACATCTCCCATGGTTTCAGGTGCACTGTCCCAGTCACTCCCTGAATTCTCTGGGGAGCTGTCCATCTGTCTGGGTTCTGGGGCAGACATGTCAGGCTTCGTTGGTTTCCGGCGGCTCCAGGGCCGAGGTAGCCAGCCACCTAGTCGTCGCAGAAACATGGCTGGGGTGTTTAGTGAGCCCCCAGACCCCTTCCTGCCACTATCAAAATAACAGATGTCTGCTTGGTAATGCTGTCCTACTCTGAATTCAAAAGTGGCTCCCCATTTCCCTGGATGGTCATGCAGACTCAAGTGTGGCAGGGGGAGGCCAATTTTCAGTTTGGGGTTAAACCAGCGCACCCAAGTTCATTCACCTTCTCCACACATACACAAGAGCCTCAGTATATGACAAGGCCTGAGAGTCACCCCCACAAAGTGACCTCCCAGTGTCTCTGGGCTTCCTTCCCAGCAGGCAGCACCCCAAGTTTCACTCACCAAGGCTAAGCCTCTAGGTGCCCCAGAAACTGGGGACACGGTGCTCCATTCAGAAGGAAAAAAGGTGGCCAAGGATCCTAAGTACTTCTGGATCTGGGGAGTCTTGAACTGAAGCCCTAAGAGAGCTCAAGCAATAGAAGTGTCCTTGTTAGGAGTGTCCAGCAAACTCCAGCCAGCAGCGTTAGTCTCTGAGTTAAGGGATTATGTACCCTAGAGATGGCCCTACCAGCCCAGAGCGGGGCGAATAGCTGAGATTCGGCCTCCCCAAGGTCAGGCTGTGATGTCCTCCGTGCTTCCGGTCGCGGGGGCAAAGTGTGGAGCTGCCTGAGGACCCAGGCGTTCGGGCATAGAGCACGGCGGCACCTCCAGGGCCCAAACTTAGGTTGCGGCCTCTAAGAGCGCGGAGCCCGGAAGCTACTGCACCAGACCGGAGGGAAAGACGGGGGCGGAGCCTGCAGTTCGCAGGGCGGACCCTGCGGATCGACCGCCCCCATGCTGTCAGCGTGCGCCCTTCGTGGGCACCCTTAGTGTGCATCCGGCAGAGGCTGAACTGCAAGTAAGGCGCTGGCTGGATCCGGGAAGTCCAGGCCTGAATAGAAACCCAATCTTCCATTTCCGCCGCGCAGACGTTCCACTGCTTTCCAGAACTCGAAGGGACTCCGCCCTCACCCTGATCCACGCCTCCTTGAATTTTTGCCAGCGATCTCCCTCCCCAACCGCAATCCCCAGCTTTATAGGATTTTCTCTTCTCTATCCCTGACTTCATGGAAGGCTTTTCCAAAAAAGAAACCGGTAAGGAGAGTCATAGGACTTTCCTGTCATTCCATGCACAGATTTCACTCCCTGAATATGACAGTATGACCTCTGTGTACGCGGCACCTGGTAGAAGCAGGACATGGGAGTTGGAAAGAGTGGGGGAAAAGAAATGTAGACAAGTAGGATGTGTTTCCTGCCCTTAGGAGGTTTCAGGTAGTGAAATGGATTCTAGCTTAAAGTTCAGAGAGTTGGGAAGTCAGAATTCTGGCTGCAGCTCAGTCGATGACATACAAATTAGATGGTCGTAAACCTTTGGGCCCTTCATCACACTGGACTCGTCCTGCAAAATGTACCCACTTTCAAGGTTGGCAGAACAATGATGAAGGCAAGGGAATGCACAGGTGTGTAAGAGTTAAAGGAAATAGCGGCAACAACTTTTATATACACAATCCTTCAGTAACAGTGATCTATAGATAAATGATACATGGATAGATACATAGGCTGACTGGGTGTGGGTGTATACCCACAACTATATAAAGATTTGACAGAGGATATTTGTGTGTAGGTATTTTACCTTTGCTGCAAACATCCATGAATGTGGTAGAGAATATTGTTGCTGTTAAGTGCTGTCCAGTCAATTCCTCATAGCAAGCCTGTGTATGGTTTCCCAGGCTGTACATCTTTGCTGGAGTAGAAAGCCTCATCTTTCTCTTACAGAGCAGCTAGTGGGCTTGAACCACCAACCTTATGGTTCACAGTCTAGTGCTTATCGTACAAAGCCATCATGCTCCAATGTTGGAGCATACAGGGGGTAAAACTATGAAAACTTAGGAGACAGGGAATGAGTTGCTTTGCCTGAGAGTTCAAGATCATAGTCTTGGAGGACACCACGGTCAACTGGCATAACATAGTCCACAACGACAACATTCTACATCCAACTTTGGTGAGTAGCGACTGGAATCTTAAAAGTTCATGAGTGCCCATATATGGTACAACTATTAGAGTCTCTCTGTGCAGAGGAAAGAAAAGTGATGAAAATTGAAAATGCATGGAAACAATTAGTCCAATGAACTAATGGAGCATGTGAATGAACATCAGTCTCTATACCCTGAGACTAGACTGGCTACTACTACCAACTACTCTGAAAGGGATCACATTAGAAAGCCCTGGATAGAGTGAAGAAAATATGGAACAAAACTCAAAATTATAAAACAGATCAGGCCTGTTGGTCAGAAAGAGACTGGAGGAACACAAGACTGTCACCCTTGGTCACCCATCAGGTCTGGAACTGAATTCCCCCTTGTGGCTCCGTTTTCAGCCAAGCAGTAGATAGATACGGGTCCTGATCTCAAGGTCAGTTTGAACTGCAGTCAGTGATTCAAACCCACCAGCTGCTCCTCAGAAACCCTATATAGGGTCTTTATGAATCAGTACTGAATCAAAGGCATTTAACAACAACAACAACAACCGCAGATAGATATAGAGAGGGAACAGCAACACTAGTTAGGTAAGAACACATAGAATGGTAGCTAGCCAAGATCAAAAGGTAAAAGCCATTCAAGATCAAGATCATTTACCTAAAGATAAAATTCAGAGGGGTGGGGAAAGAAGGAGGAAGGGAAATAAGAATCACAGAAAGTTACAGTAAGTGATGTCACACTGAGGGGATTGCAATCATTAAAAAAGTATATGATTTGTTGAATGTAAACTTGATGATCTACTCTGCAAACTTTCATTCAATTCACAATAAAAATTGAAAAAAAAAAAAAGGTCGGGGGACGTGGGACAAGATGGTGGACTAGGTAGAAAGGATGTAAGACCCTCGCAGCAGACGTATCGAAACTAGATGAGACAAAGGTTGGTCCTGGAACTCTGAGCTTCAGATAAGGGAATAAATAAGAGGATCAAGTACTTACTTGGAGAGAGAGTAAATGTCAAGATAAAGGAGGGAACTTCTGATTTGTGGCAACCAATGGGACCTGCCACAACCATCTTGAATGTGGTAAGCAGCTTAAGAGATAAGAAAACAAATTCCCATTGCAGAAACCTACCTGTTATTCCCAAAGGCAAAGGTGAGATTATTATTTTCTTTTTTCCTCTCTGATTTTAGAAGTGAGGCTTGCCTCCACCAGTGTACACCCTCAGGGAATAGTTTGCTTTCCAGGCAGGCAGAACCACTCAGACCCCGATGTGGTGAATACCACTGAAGCAAGAGGATCCAAATGCAATAGCCCCGCTCAGGCAGGCCCAATCCAAATCTTCAGAGTTGACCCTGGCCAGCTCTGGGCTAGCTCTTACTAAGAAAACTGGTTAAACAGTCCTGTGGGGTAGAAAAGAAGAGAGGGGGAAAAAAAGACTGGTTATATGTACAAGACACACAGTGGGACCATCTTGAATTTTCTCCAGTGGCTGTGAAGGCAAGAGGCTTGTAGGTGGCGCAGAAGCATTTCAATTATTGGTGGAGAGAAAAAGAGTAGCCCATTTTTTTTTTTTTAATCTAAAGGATACAGATATATTTATAATCAAAATTTGCCAGTATAGTTTTTTTTTCTTCCCACTCAGGCATATATAATAATTTACATCTCCAAAGGGCACATTCTGCAAGTCTGCTCCTGGCTACCAGTTCTTAGTCCTT